CGAGCGAGTTTTGTGGCTGATCCAGATAAGGTCCCCCTGCCGCCTCCGAGTCGTCGTCGCCAAAGGGTCGGGAAGGCACCAGGCCGAGATTGCGCACCCCCCTCCTTCGTCTCATGTCCCTGGCGGTACTGGCAGCTGCATATGGTTGGGTCCTTCGAAATTATTCCGAAGGGGTCATCCTCAAACCTGTAACTGTCGTCACTTTTGGGCCCTGTGGGCGTGAATGCGGAGGAAGTCTCGGGCGGGAACCTCGTCTCTGAGTGAATTGCGAAGATGTCTCAAGCCGGAGCCTTCTCCCTATTGGGCCCGCACTTGATGCTTTGAATCCGAGGGGGTCGTCCTCAGACCTGTAGCTGTCGTCACTTTTGGGCCCCTGGGGTGTGAAAGTGGAGGGAGTCTCAAGCGGGGGCTCGTCGTGTGTGAATGAACTGCGAGGACATTTCGGACGGGAGCCTCTCCATATGGGGCCCGCACCTCACATTTTTAATCCGAGGGGGTCTCCCTCAACCTTGTAACCGTCGTCAATTTTGGGCCCTTTGGCTTTGGGTGTGAATGTGGAGGAAGTCTCAAGCGGGGGCTTCGTCTGTGAGTGAACTACGAAGACGTCTCAGGCGGGAGCCTCTGCCTATGGGGCCGCAATCATATTTTGGGGGTAGGAAACAATCCGAGGTGGTCATGTTCAAACCTGTAACCGTCGTCACTTTTGGTCCCCTGCGCGTGAATGTGGAGGAGGTCTCGGGCGGGCGCCTCGTCTGCTAGTGAATTGCGAAGATGACTCGAATGTGTCTCAAGCGGACGCCTTCTCCCCATGGGTCCCGCACTTTTTTATTTTATTTTATTTTTTGTGGGTTTCATCAAAGGGTGTCATCAAAATCCTGTGAGTGTCGTCGCTTTTGGGCCCCTTGTGAGTGAGCAGCGTGGGCGTCTCAGGCGGGAGCCTTCTGCCTATTGGGCCCGCACTTTGCGTTTGCAATCCGAAGAGGTCATCCTCACCCCTCTAACCATCGGCACTTTTGGTCCCCCAGGCGTGAATGTGGAGGACTTCTCGAGCGAATTGCGAGGATGTCTCGACGATGTCTCGAGCGGACGCCTCCTCCCCCCAGGGCCCGCGCCTCCTGCAGCGGCGGGGGAGGTGGATGTGAGAGAAGAGGCAGCAGGACGAGAAGGAGGTGGATGTGAGAGAAGAGGCAGTAGGACGAGAAGGAGGCAGAGAAGGGGGCGGGAAGAGGGCCCCCGCCAAGTGGACAAGGAAAAGGGCGATAAGGAGACGGGAAGAGAGGTTCTGCACTCAGAAGGACGACGATCAAGAGCACTTCCAGATACGTTCGGGATCCTCACGTGGGATCCTCACGTGGGATCCTGCGGAGGTGCTAATCGATATCCCCATTTGGGGATGGAGGCGCCCGTCATCCGAGCAATATTTGCACAGGTCGAGGAAGCGCGATCTACCGCCGTTCCAACTCTCATAGAATCCTACCAATGCTGGGTACAACCATAATCATGGAATCCCCCACCGCCCCCGGTCTGAACCAGGGGGTAGAGAAGGTGCTTCCGCCCTCCCCTCCCTGTTCGGATTGGGAGGCTTTCTTACCCCCCCCCTGGTTCGAACTGGGGGGGGGGGGCGCGTGCCAGTAGCAACAGAAAACGCACTTTCCACAATTCTGAGCTTTGGCTTCGGATCGTAGAGCTGGCTGAATTGGTCGAGCGCGCTTTCTCCTCTCATCCCCTTCTGTCCCTGTTGGGAAGGGTTTGCCCTCCTCTTACCCCGTCTGTCTGGGTCTGGATCCAGGGTTTCGCGACGTATCAGGTCCTTTTGCCGCAAAGCGGCTCCAACATATTAGATGATCCTACGCTTCCCTGGTACGGGCAACTCCCACTCGCATCGTTTCTGCGTGAGTTGGTGGGGATAAGCGACGCGCGAAGAACTTGAGGACCTCTCAACATGAGCTGCATTTTGGACACGTGCTGGCCGCCATCCCTGTAACTGTTTGTTTCTTTTTGGTGCGCGGCGCCAACACGAAACTTACACCATTCGTGTTCCATCCTTGCAACTGCTCCGAACTTCCCAAGAGAGTGCACGCGGCGCTAAAGCGAAAACTGCATGATGTAAACCCAGCCCTCCATGCGAAGAGCGCTTGGAGTTTGTTAGCTTCAAGATGCTACGTTGTCAAGAGGTATCAAGCGAAACGCCTGGCCATGCCTACGGACATGTCTCGTGGTACGTGAGGGGGGAAAGACTTATAAACAATATGGATACAGGGGGGAAGAAGGAGGCAGGAAGATGAGGACCCCCATTTGTACCTTCGCTTCCGGGGGAACCCGAAAGGGACCCAAACGACGAGCCAAACCCGACCGCAGAGGGAACGCTAGGAACCCTCCCTTCAAGCGGTGCTGCTGAGCGTCACAATAACCGACCCTGCCCTCAACCCCCAAATAATCCAAGAGCCAAGGTTCTGGTCGTGGACGGCCCTGGTCCTCCACGCCGTGGTGCCAATTGCTCCCCTGTGGGTCCTCCGCTGTGCCGTTGTGCTGTGGCGCGTCATCTCGGCACCCCGCCCCGCCTCCCAGTCTTCTTCCCCCCCTCGCCTTCGGGGAACCTGAACATCCGACGTTGTTTTTTTCGCACTGTGGCCCCCGGGAAGGCTGGACCTCTTCCCGTGGACCAGCTCTTCATCGTGAGTCATGTTTTGACGACCCCAGGCCGACGAAGGCCCCCAGACGCCGAAAACGGCAAAACTAATAATTGTTGTTCTGTTCGTCGGTTCGTTTTTTTCCCCGAGATTTCAGAAGCCTGCTCTCCGACGCCGCCAAGCATTGCAGCATTGTGAACAATCGCAACCAGGGATGCGCGCCCAATTCTTCGGCAACGTGTTTCGGCTCGTCCGCAAATGCCTAATCGCCATCTGGACAGCGGACATGCGATTATTGACCGCGGTAGGATGGATTTCCACCCTCTTCGCCTTGTGATGTGCAACAGCCACCCTACAACCAATGGGAACTTGAATGGCTTCGACTCAGACATGGCCCGCGGGTCTGGTTTGCACTTAAGCTCCCGCACGCAGCGACGCCCAGCCTCTCCATCGTCTTCTGCCTCGCGGCCACGATTTGTCGACGTGTCAATCGGTTGGACTCCCTTCAAACTTGATCCGCCCGCGGAAATAACAAACATGCTTATATCAAGATAAACATATGCATCTTCATATAGCATCGCGTGTATCGGACAGGTTCCTCCGTGAGCGTGATCACGCAACTTTCGGGCTTATTTGTGCCAGATTGAACGACGAGGGTGATGATGAACATGAGAGTGATGAGGATGATGGCGGTGGTGGTGTTGAGGGTTGTTAATGCTGATGATGGTGATGACGGTGCTGATGCTGATGCTGGTGATGATGGTGGCGATGGTGGTGATCCGACGGGGGACGAGGCGGATCAGAGGCAGGTTTCGATCATTTGGGTCGCCTCTATCCTCTTCCTTCCCTTCTTCTATCGAGCTTGTGTACTTGTGTAAGATCGCCGCCGCCACTTTGCGCTTTCAGAAGGGTTCGCAGCAGGAGCGGTAGAGGACGGAGGAAGATCAGGAGGTGGTGGAGGAAGAGGAGCGAGAGGGGGAGGAGGAGGAGGAAGAGGAGAAGGAGGACGAGGAGGAGGATGACGAGGAGGAGGACGAGGAAGAGGATGGGGAGGAGGAGGAGGAGGAGGAGGAGGAAGAGGAGGATACTATAGGCCCGGCCTTGGAAGAGCCTGCGCCGCCAGCCAGGACGGCGACGCGGGCCCCAGAGGAGTCTTGTCCGCGGAGCCCGCGGCCCCCGTCCGCAGGGTGACGGAGGAGGAGGAGGATGAGGGGCAGGAGGAGTAGCAGGAGGGGGAGGAGGAGCGGGAGGAGGATGAGGAAAGGGAGGAGGAGGAGGGCGAGGGAGACGCGACAGCCAGACTGTACTGGAAGTCGGGGTAGCTGAAAAGGTAATGGTGATGACGATGACGATGGCGATGCTGCTGATGAGTAGTATTGTGATGATGGAGGTGATGATGGCGATGCTGATGATGCTGATGAGGATGCTGGTGATGATGGTGCTGACCATTCTGGTGATGGTCGTGCTGCTGCTGATGATGATGATGACGATGATGGTGATGCTGATGACGATGGCAAGGATTACCGATGGTGATGATGATGCCGATGGTGAGAATACGGCGCCCTGCTTGCAGCTTCAGCCTCAGCAGGGCCAGTCACGTGTAGGGGCGGCCGCTCAGGGCAACCTGCGTGCGACCAGCCGTGGCCACGCGTCGGCGGCCTGAGAGGCCGCCAACAGAAGCTCGCCGAAGCGCGACGTGAAGGCGGCCAAACCCTCGCAGACACCTGCCGCGCGAAATCCATCCCGAGGCGGCCGGCAGGCTCGCCAGGGAAAACAGCAGTGTGCCGAGCTGCGGCGGCGATGTCCGCGACAAAGCGCTGCGCAACAGGCTGGAACCTGCCCTCGGTCTCGACCGTGAACGGATCGATCGCATCGCCGTACTGGTCTTCTTGCGCTTCTCCGCGACGCGTACCTCGTGGCCGATGGCGCGCACTGCTGAGCCCGACTCTTCGGGCGAACGCACGGTCACGTCCACCCATGTCGGCGCAGGCAGGCCCGGCCACCTGATGATGATGATGATGATGATGATGATGATGATGATGGTGATGATGATGATGACGATAACGATGATGATGGTGATGATAATGGTGGTGAAAATGCTGATGACGATTCTGATGACTATGGTGGTGATGATGATGACGACGATGTATCTGCAGCTGCTGATGATGACGACGACGTCGACGACGAAGAGGAAGCGGAAAATCAAGATGAAACTGAAGATGACTATTGATATCAAAATAATGATGGTGATAATGATAATGCTGCTGGTGATGATGATGATGATGGTGATGCTGATGATTCTGCTGCTGCTGCTGCTGCTGCTGCTGCTGCTGATGATGATGATGATGATGATGATGATGATGATGATGATGACCAGACGCAGATTCAGAAAGCTCCCGCGAAGCCTTTCACGCTCGCGAGCACGCTTAAGAGGGGCCGACCTACGGGTGTAGCGCGGATGCTGCAAGACGAGGTGGAGGACGAGGAAGAGCAGACCTGGTGCCTACTTCAGCACCCGCGCCTCCCGATTCTGGGTGCTCGCCCGTGCACGGGCGGACCGGCGCGGGCCGCGCGCGCGACGCGGGCGGGCGCTTCCTTGGCCCTTCGGCTTCCCGGCTCCCAGCGGCTTTCCCGTGCCCGCGGCCAGCCAGAGAGGGGAGGAGGAGGAGGAGGAGGAGGAGGAGGAGGAGGAGGAGGAGGAGGAGGAGGAGGAGGAAAAAGGAGGAGAGGATGAGGAGAGGGATGAGGAGGAGGAGGAGGAGGAGGAGGAGGAGGAGGAGGAGGCGGAGCGAGAGGCGGGAGGAGGAGGAGGAGGAGGAGGAGGGACGAGGAGAGGAGGAGGGAGGAGGAGGAGGAGGAGGAGGAGGAAGGAGGAGGAGGAGGAGGGAGGAGGAGGAGGAGGAGGAGGAGGAGGAGGAGGAGGAGGAGGAGAAGGAGGAGGAGGAGGAGGAAGGAGGGCGGAGGAGTCGCAGGAGCAGGACGAGGAGGAGGAGAAAAGGAGGAGGAGGACGAGGAGGCGGAGGAGGAGACGGAGGGGGAGGAGGATGAGGAGGAATGGGGAAGAGGAGGAGGAGGGAGGAGGAGGAGGAGGAGGAGGAAGATGATGAGGATGAGGATGAGGATGAGGATGAGGATGAGGATGAGGACAAGGATGAGGATGAGGATGAGGATGATGATGATGATGATGATGATGATGATGATGATGATGATGATGATGACGATGATGATGATGATGATGATGATGATTAGGAGGAGGATGAGGAGGAATGGGGAAGAGGAGGAGGAGGGAGGAGGAGGAGGAGGAGGAGGAAGATGATGAGGATGAGGATGAGGATGAGGATGAGGATGAGGATGAGGACAAGGATGAGGATGAGGATGAGGATGATGATGATGATGATGATGATGATGATGATGATGATGATGATGATGACGATGATGATGATGATGATGATGATGATTAGGAGGAGGAGGATGAGGAGGAGGAGGAGGGAGAGGAGGACGAGGAGGACGAGGAGGAGGAGGAGGAAACGGGGGAGGTTCTAGGAGCGGAAGGCGGGGAGGGGGAAAAGCAGAGGGGGCAACATAGGAAAGAGTCTGAGGGGAGGGCGATGGAGGATACATTTTTGTTTTTTTGGGGGGTCCCCCATCTATTTGTCAAACTGTATATCTATATATGTATAGATCTATGTTTTTTTTCTTTCTCTCTCTCTCTCTCTTTCTCTTTCTGGCTCTCTCTCCCCCCCCTCTCTCTCTGGTGTCAGCAGCCAAAGCCACCTGCCACTCAGGAGGGGAGGGGGACTAGGTCAACAGCAGGAGGATTCTATTCAAGAGGATGATGAACAAGGGAGGGTGACAAGAAGGGTAATGGGAGGTGGCTGGCAAGTGGTTGTGCTCGGCCGCATGCCTTCCTCCCACCGCCTCTTCAACTTACTTCCCCTTCTTCCTTTCCCATCCGTCGCCCCCTCTCAACCTTCCCTCCCTCTCGCTCCCTTCTGTCCCTCCCTTACTGCTCGCTACCTCCCCTCCTTCCCTCACGGCCCTCCCTTTTTCCCCATCCCTCTTTCCCTCCACCTCTCATTCCCGCCTTCGCCCCTCACATCTTGGTCCTTCGGTGCCATCACGCCTTCACCAGCGCCGTCTGTATCATGTCGCGCTCGGCCTCCCGGATAATGTCGTCCAGCGTGAGGTCGGCCTGGCTAAGTTTTAGCCTTTTCGTGCAGCTAATTGCCTTCGGCGCATCCCGCCACCGTGCCTGGGCTGTGGAAGCCCGCGCAAGCGAGACCGCTAAAACCGTTCGGACACATCATGAGTATTCATAGTTTTGGCCACTTGGGGCCCTCTTGGGGGGTCCTTCTGGAGCCCTCTGGGACCGTCTCGAGACCATCTCAGGGCGCTCTGGGCCCTCTTGAATCGTCCTGGCGCCCTCTTTTCGGACTTGGTCGTCTGCTCGCGGTGGTGGCTGTGGGCAACAACCAAAGGTGCGCAGCTCTGGAGGGCCGCCAGGGAGGCCAAATCCAAGCAATCCAAGCGCGCCAGCTCGTGCTGGTGTTAGGTCGGGCGTGTCCCCTACAGGGGGGTTTGGACGAAACATTAAAAATATCAAAAACATATTCAACAAATGCTCAAAATAGTCAGAACATCGTCCCAGACTTTTTTATACTATTTTTGAAGATTCCTTCTGTAGAGGGACACGCCCGACTCAATGCTGGTGGGATCCGCGTGGGTCCGCACCAGAGGTCGCTCTGGCGAATGGCCACCCTGACGCGTAACCGACGTGGGCCCGTGGGCCCCCCGACTGCGTCCCGGAGGCCCAAAACGGGGTCCGCCGCGGCGCAAACGGCTCCCCCAAGGGCCCAAGCCGGGGGGAAAAGAACGCCGCCGTGATATATTTTCTTGGCTCCGGATGCTTGCAAAGAGTTCACCCAAGATCTGCCTCCAGGCCCTTTTGGGTTTCGCCCCGGCTCGACTCTAGAAGGGAACTCGGCCGTGGCGACGAGGGCGCACCATGAGGCCCCAAAAAGGACAGCGAGCCCCAAAATTACAGCCTCGATCCTCGAATCTTGGCCAGCCGTAGCTGGCGTCGTTTCGCTGGTCCGCAGAGCCGCGCGCGGGTTCCCTAGGGGCCCAGGGGCGCTCAAGCTGCTGCTGGCTGCCCCCTCCTCGCCCTCTTCCTCCTCCTCTTCCTCCTCCTCCTCCTCCTCCTGCTCCTCCTTCCCCTTCCTTCTCATCGTAGTTACTTCTGCCGCCCAGCTGCCCAGCGGCAGCGGGCGTCGCTTCGCACACGGCCAACCAGAGAGGCGGACTCGCCGCGCGCGCGCGTGCGCCTTCTGGCTAGCCTCCGCCGACACGACGGCCTCGAAGTGGCCGGGCCTTAATAGGGGCTGCGCCGCGCCCTCCGCTCGCCCGCGTCCTCCGCCGAGAGAGGGGGAGGAGAAGTAAGGGGGACGGGGGTTGGAGTCCAAGGTCTCTGCGACGACTTCCGTCTGGCCTGGCGTGCTGCGGTCAGTGTGCAAGTGCGCTTGGCGTAACACGTAAAGGAGAACGCTCTGCTATATATTGTGCCAGCGCGGCTGCGATATAATACTACAGCGAGGCTGCAACAAAGAGTCTGCGGCGTACCATCCGTGGCTCCCTCTGAGCTCCGTCACATAGGAGGGGGAGGGGGACACTGGAGGTCGGGGATGCCCATGATGACGAGAATGCTTATTTTTGCTTGCCACAGCGAAGCCGTCAGGCTCTGGAACACATGGTCCATTCAAGTGATGTTGTCGCTTCTATGCCATGACGAGCAACATGGCGGGCAGCGACGACGTTGGCTTCAAGAGAGGGAGAATGTCATTTGAGGGGAGGGTAGCGCCCGCGTCATCCGCCGTCGCTCCGCGCTCAGGTTCTAGCCCAAGGCACTACTGTCCAAGGGCAGGGCGCAACTCGCGGGCCGTCTCCGAGCCGAGAGAGGAGGCATGTCCTGGAGGAAAAGGGTCCATGCAGCGGGCCCGAATGGTCCCCGAGAGGGGGCGGCCCTGGGCCGCTCCCGAGGAAACCGTGAGGAGGGCTCTGGCGGCTCCATATCGGGAATGGGCGAGCGCCCCTGGGCACAAAGTCTCAATCACATTCACGAGCCCCTGAGGGAGACGTGGCGAGCCAGCGCGCGATGGAGGAATAGTTGGGCGAGTGAGGCGAAATCAGCTCGGAGGTCAAAAGAGACGAAGATGGTCAGAGAGGTGGGATGGTGGCTGCAAGCGCGCGCCCGCGCATCCTGGCGCGCTGCGCGCGCCGGGGAGTTGCGGCCTCGGGTGCAGCCGAACTGGCTCGTGTGCGCGCGCGAGGCGGTCAGGGGCGCCAGCGCCTGCTTCGTCGCCGCCGCCGCCGCCGCCGCCTTCGCGTCGCAGTTCTTCAGGAAGGGCGGCCGCGCCGTGACCGCGGCGGGGGGCTCCTCCAGAGCGTCGCCTGCCGCCGTGCTTTTCGGGGCAAGGCCGTGTCCGTTAAGTCGAAGCCCCAAGGCGCGGATGCGCCGCGATAGAGGCCGAGCAGGAGATCGCGCAGCATCTCAGAGGGGCAGTCGCCCGCCAGCCAAGCGCGGGCCCCTACTCGGTCAGGTCTTGGTGCCGCGGGCCGAGCGCGCTGCAGCGCCGCGCGCAGGCCGCCCAGCGAAGGGGCCTCGCGCTGCGGCTGATCACGCGCAAGCAGATGCTTGCCAAGATGAGCGTCGATGGCGGCGGCCAGCAGAGGACCGCCCCCGGGGGCATTTGTGCGGATGGGCTGCTCGTGCTTGTGCAGCTCCTCGATCGTGACGACAGGGTCGCGCTCGATGGAGGCGCAGTGCCCCTCGGCGTCGGCGCGCGTGCCCCCAGAGATCAGCCGCCGCGGGTATGGCGCCCGCCCGCGAGAGAGCGCGGAGCTGCGCCGCGCGCTGCATCTCGCGAAGCTGGAACTCCGACGGGCCGTATGCGCCCAGCCGCGCCTGAGCCTCCTCGCGGAGGCGAGCGGCAGCGGCAGCCTGTTGGCGCTTATGCCGAGCGAGATGGTAACGCGCGGCAGTCCTTCTCGAATGACCTGGTGTCCTGCTACACGATCTGCAGCGTGGGCTCGGAACTGTCCTCGGTCGCGCGACACGTGCGCAGATGGCGATCACCAAAGTTGGTGCTGTCGATCAAACGTTGAACGAGTCGGAGGTCCTGCCGCCAGATGGCTCTGGCAGCAGCGCGGGGGGAGATGCGACGCCGTTCTGATGCCTCCTCGCCGCCGTCGCCAGTGGGGGGTGCCTGCATCTCGGTCCGCGTGAGTCTCGCAACTTCCGTGGTCTTTGCCCTGGCCTCTCTCCAACGGCTCTCCGCCACCATCTGCGAGGAACCAGAGTGGGCGAGCAGTGCCTTGACATGCTTGACGAAGCGCGGAGATGCAAGTGTGCCCGCTGGAAGAGCGCTGTCCTTCGGCGCCGATGGCGTGTGCGGTTGGAGCTTCAGCTGGATGATGGCGTGGCCACTCATGCCCAAGTCCGCCAGGGTGGCCGCCACCTGCCAGCTCGCGAATGTGACAGTGGCATCGAGGATGTAGTGGCTCTCTAGGGAGATGAAGGCGCGGCATATGAAGTTGCACGTCTGGTGGGCCTTCGAGTAGTGTGTGGGCAGCTCGTAGGTGACCTCGATGACGTCGCGCTGAAAGAGGTTGCGCCAAAGGACTTGTGCTTCGCTTGCTTTATGCCAAACAGAGTGGCTGTTTGATCCTGCCGCGCGGTGTCTGAAGTGCGGGCCCCGCTGAGAGGTGCTGCTATCAGACGACGTGTCAGAGGCAGGGCAGGTAGAAGAGGAGCTCGATGATGCTGTTGCCGCCGGTGATCGCGTGGAGAGCTGCGAGTTTCGCAGGGGGGCCGGAATGCGATGGGCGGGAGATCGCAACTGGTTCACGCTCCGCAGCGTTGAAGTCACCAGTGGCAATGAAGACGCGGTGGCGTGCGTCCTGGCGGGCCCAGTTCGCTCCCTCGGTCAAGCTCAAGCGGTTGCTTATGAGCGGGAGTGCGTGCTTCGGGATGTCGTGGCTGTGCGCGTTCATGATGCGGGCGTGCTCGTTCCCCGCGGAGTTGGGGATGGCGAGGGCGGCGACGCGCCCGAGACAATGATCTCGAAGGAATAGGTGGGCCTCGCGTGCTCGTCAATCTCGGAGATCTGGCTGGCAGGGTACCATGGGATAAGGAACGCCAATCAGTCGGCGCCTGGCGCGAAGCAAGGTGAGAACACGCATGCGGTAGTTAAGTGGCAGCTGGTCGAGTGCGGCGCGAAGCTTGACCTCGGAGCCATGTGTCTCCTGAACAACGGTCAGCATGCGCAGCTTCATGAGCTTCGCCAGCATGGGGATCTTGCCATGCCTCCTGTGCGCCCGCTGGCAGAGAAGCCCTGGGGTGTTCCATGAGGCAGCGCGTAGCCCATTGACGGATTGTTGGCCCTGAGACAATGCGAATTCCCAAAGCAGCCGGCGAGGGCTAGGAGCAAGATCGCATGGACGTGTCCACCTCGTTGGCCAGATTGGTGGCCTCGTGGAACATGTCAACGATGCGCTGGCGCCCGTGGTCGGACGCAACGCGGGAGGCGCAGGGGTTCCAGATGAGCATGGGCGGCTCGTGAAAGCCCTGCGGGGCGACCTCAAGGATGCGGGCAACGTTGCAACTAAGGGCCCCCTTGGCACGATGTGTTGTCCAATCCCTGCCATTGCCAAAGTCAGCAAACCGAGCAATGTCAGTAGCGGACAGACTGACCTCAGTCTGAGCCGGACATGTGCGAATGCCTGCCACTTGTTCGCGCAAGCGGGCATTCTCGCGCTCGAAATCGTCCATGCGCCGCTCAATGTGCTGGATCTCATCGGAGTGGGCGGCGACATCGGCGACGATCGGGGCCACGAAGCGGCCCATGGCTCCCGCGGGTCCGTCTGTGCCGCCGCGAAGGGACGCTTGCATACCTGGTCCACCTCTGCCACTGTGGCTTCCATGCGACCACAGGCGAGCTCCATGAGTTGCGCCTGGAGGTCCGCGTTGGGGCCAGCAGAGCTGGAGGCACCACTGCGGCCGCATCGGGCCGGCGCGGGTTTCCGCGGGACGCCAGCAGCGCCCTGGAGCGGCGAGCCATCGGGTGTCGGCATGGGCTCCTGCGACGGGAAAGTGGGAGTCGCCTCGATCTCACGAGCAAGCTGGCTGTCGAAAATGGGTGCCGCAGCGGGTACCGGAGTGTTGGCGGGCTCGGTGGGCGACAGAACCATCGGTCTTCCTCCTCGCCAAGGGCCATGGAATTGCAGGGCGTCGGCAGCAGCGGGAGGCTCTCCAGCGGGTACGCCTGTGTTGCTAGCGCTGGCACTGGCCTCGCGTCTGCATCTGGCACAGCGACGTTCTCTGTCCCGTGGTCGAGCACCGACGCACTGTCGCCCACGACGTCGACCTGCGGTCTTCACCTCCGCTGCGGCTGTGGCTGTGCGCATCAACTGTCCGCCGACTATCATCAACGTCAAGGGAGAAAGACGAGACAGCGCCCATGGAATAGTAGCAGGTCGTCTCTGAAGGAAAGTCGTGCTTGCAAAATGGATTTCGCAGCCGCCAACTGGGGAGGCTCGCTGCGAGGGTCGTATGGATGTAAGCCCGCTGGGGCAGCACGCCTCGAGCACGCCCCTCGGCTGCGGGCAGATACGCGCCGCAGGGCAACGGCTTCGTAGAGGAGGAGGAGGAGGAGGAGGAGGAGGAGGAGGAGGAGGAGGAGACGGAGGAGGAGGAGGAGACGGAGGAGGAGGAGCAGGATGAGGATGAGGATGAGGATGAGGATGAGGAGGAGGAGGAGGAGGAGGAGGAGGAGGAGGAGGAGGCCAACCGACCTGCCGCAGCGAGGAAACAACGACCCCGTGAGATGCGGGCCTCCCCACGGCGCCGCGCGACCAGGCGGCCGCCCTCGCACCAGGCTGGCCCGACCTCTCGCGGACAGCGGCGAAGGCCGCGCTGCGAGGAGCGCGCACACACACCTTCGCGCTCTCGCGCCGCCTCCCGGGGGGAGGAGAGGGATGCGAGGAACGGGCGGGCCGAACCGCGAAGCCTCGAAGCGCGAGTGGCTTCGCGCCCTCGAGGGTGCCCTCGAGGATCGGCGGAGGTCAAAACCGACCGCCGCGCCCAACGCCTGGCCAGGCCGAGCCCTGGGGCCCAGGGCTTTGCGTGGCGTGCCTTCCTGGCCAGGCCGAGGAGGCAACATTGGGCGCCGATCCTGGGCACTGGATCGGCCCAGCCAAGATCGGTGAGGAGGGCCGTCGACGCCTCCCGACAGGATGGAGGCAAGAGGAGCGCGACGAGAGCCTGGGCGCCGTCGAGGGGGGCGACGAGTCGGGCCCGCGAGCAGCGGCTGCGGCGCGGAGTGCCCGCCCGGGCCCGCCTGTGCCACACGAGCACCAGGTTGGCCCGACGCTGCTCGCGCGGCAGGGTCGGGTAGCCGCCGCCCTGGTAGGCCTGGCGGGGCAGGAGGGGGGTGGGGGGGAAGAGGGAGCCTCAATAATAGCACTGCTCGAATATCCGCCAGTGGGCACTCCTCCTGCTTCGTGCTAGATAGTATCACCAAGCCTATACAGGAGTAGACCCAATATATTACAATGCTGCGCCAAACTAAATCCTCGATGCCATTCCTTGGTGACGCGCTGCTGGTCCTTCTGCCCACCCCTCCCCCCTCCTCAGGATAATGCTGCTGATGATGATGATGATGATGATGATGGTGATGATGATGATGATGATGATGATGATGATGATGATGATGATGATGATGATGATGATGATGATGATGATGATGATGATGATGAAGAGGAGGAGGAGGAGGAGGAGAGGAGGAGGAGGAGGAGGAGGAGGAGGAGGAGGACGTGTGTGCGTGGACGGGGACAAGGGAGGCATTGGGGAAAGGGACGATGACCCAGGAGAAGGGGAGGGCGCCGGGAGGGGGGAGGAGATGGAGCAGGGGGGAGGAGGGAGGGAGGAGGAGGTTGAGGAGGGAGGAGGGAGGTGGAGGAGGGTGGAGGTGGAGGCTGGGGAAGGGACGAGGAGGCTGAGGCGATCAAGGCAAGCGACGACGAGGGGGAGGACGAGAGAGCGATGGGGGAGGCAGGTGCCGCTGTGCCCCCTCGGGGAAGACAAGAGCCCGGTCCGCCCGGTGACAGGGGCACCTCCGCGAGGGCCCGAGAGGCGGGCGGCTGGCGCCAGGCTCCCGACACCTCTCTCGCGCGCTCGCGCGGGGGGGGGGGGGGGGGCGGAGGGGCGTGCGGCCGGGATCTGCTCCCGCTCTGGTGCCGGCCACCCCTCTCCCTTCGGGTGGGGAGCCCGTCGCCCGAGCGCCCTCCGTGACTGCGCGCTCGGAGCGGCTCTCTCGCCCTAGTGGGCGGATCTGCCTCTAAAGGGGTCGAGCTGGCGAGATAGACTTCTGGGCAATAGAGAGATAGCCTGCTTTCCCCCCCCTCCTCTCTCTCTATCTCCCTCTCTCCCTCTCTCGCTCCCTCCCGCCTTCCCTCCCTCTCCCTCCGTCCCAACCTTGCTTCTGCCTTCCTTGCCCCGCTGTATGTCCTACCTCGCCTGGTCTTGCGCCCCCCCACCCCCGTCTGTCGTCCAACCTTTCGCATCAAGCAATCCTTGTCGCTCTTTTCCACGCATCTCGTTTCCCTTGCAACTTATCCTCTCCTTCTCTTCCCGATCCTTCCGACTTCTCATGCGTTCTCTCGCTTTCCTTTCATCTCTTCCCTTCTCTCCCCTGTATCGTCGCATCTCCACTCCATCGCCTACGTTCACATCTTGTCCTCTCCTTGCCCTCTTATCTCTTCCTCTCATGTCCCCTCCCGTACTTTCAACCCTTTCATCTTATCTCTTAGGCCACTGGCTTTAACTCTGTCTCCCCCATCGCATCGTGCGCGATACTCCGTACGGGGTGTCCCATCCTGGCTGCCCTCTCTTCCTGTCCTCCTCCTCCTCGCTATTCTGCCACTCTGCCGTTCCCCGTTCCCTCCCCTGAGATCCGACGTCTCGAAAAAACGCAACGTGGTAGAAGTCTCGGCCAGAGCCCCAGGCCCCATCTTTCTGCGCCGTTTTCCGAGCCCGATCGATCTGTGAGGCCCCGGGGGCACGGAAGTGGGCGAACGCGCCCAGTTCGAAACACACGAGAAGTCAGTGCCTCGAGGCCTCGGCAGCGCAGCAGGAGGGGAGAGGGCAGCGCGCAGCGCAGCACGCGCACGGCGGACAGCAGACCAACGGGCGCCGGCCTCCACGCTGCCGACGGACGACGCGAACACCGCGATGGCGAGAACGGACAGGGCCGGGGCGGTCTTGGCACCGTCCTCGCAGCGGCGCGGCTCCAGTGGCTTCGGCAGGGGGCGTGCAGGGTGTGGGCGAGGAGGGGGAAGGAACGTACGACCACCGCTGCGGACAAGCGCCCGGGGCTGGCTCAGACCAGGTGGCCTCTGGATTCTGGCGTGCTTGGACACAGGCAGTGCGAGCCGCATACAAAGTCAAGAAGACAGGAGGAGGAGGAGGAGGAGGAGTAGGAGGAGGAGGAGGAGGAGGAGGAGGAGGAAGAGGCGGAGGAGGAGGTGGAGGCGGCGGCGGCGGAGGAGGAGGCGGAGGAGGAGGCGGAGGATGATGAGGACGAGGCACAGGAGGCACGGCGTTGTATGAGGGGGAGGAACAGCAGGAGGAGGAGGAGGCAGAGGAGGAGGAGGAGGAGGAGGAGGATGAGGATGAGGATGAGGATGATGATGATGATGATGATGATGATGATGATGATGATGATGATGATGATGATGATGATGATGATGATGCTGATGATGATGATGATGAGGAGGAGGAGGAGGAGGAGGAGGAGGAGGGGGAGCGAAGCAAAGCAAATAACCATCGGACCCACTGTCTCCCAGGGGTACGAGACCAAACAAGGTGGATCTAGGTGGCAGCACAAAACAGACTTCCAACTTGAGTAGCCTTGTTGGCGGGGAGCGCTCAAGCGTGGAAGCGGCCCATTATGGAGGAAAGTCCACTGGGCGTAGATATCATGGCTCTACCTCCACACAGACAAGAAAACCCTTTCGGACACTAGGCAGGCCCCCTTGGCCCGACACCTCTCTCTCGATGACTAGCGGGCTTCATCAATTTCTCCTACTCCTCTTCCTCCTCCTCCTCCTCCTCCTCCTGCTGCTCCTCCTCCTCCTCCCCCTCCTCCCCCTCCCCCCTCCCGTCCCTGCCTCGCTCGAAACGTGGCGCCCGCCGCCCCAGGAGCCCGACCCTCCGCGGGGGTTCCTCCTGCATGGCGCACGCGAGGAAGTCGGCGTACGCCTCCGCCTCCTCGCCCACGTCGCCGCGCCCGGCCTGCTCTCTCTCTCTCTCTCCTCCTCGCCCTCCCTGTCCGCCACCGCCCTGCCGCAGGCGCTCCCCCCCCCCCCCGAGAGCCCCCCCCCGAAGCCCCCCAGCAAGAGGCCTCCAACAGGCGAAAGGACGGAGGAGGAAGGATCATCATCCCTCCTCTTTTGTTGTTGTTGTTGTTGTTGTTTTTTTTGTTGTTGTTGGTTTTCCTTGTTATTAAAAAAGAAAGCGGCGGTCGAATGTTTGTCGCCATGCAAACCTGTCCAGCCCCTCCCACCCAGCAAAAACCAGGGTGGGAGGGGGGCTCATTAGGGAAAAGGTGAACCCTCCTCCTTCCTCCTCCGCCTCCTCCTCCATCCATGTTCCGTGTGGGTAACTGCTCCCCGTCGCAGCCTTAGACGTGTCGGGTGGAGGGAGGTATTTGCACGGAAGGAAGTGAGCCCTGAGCGACATGGCTCCCGCATGTTCAGTGTTCGGGCCCTCGGAGCCCGAGGACCGTCAGAAAGCGACCCATGATGAAAAGTGAGCCCAGCGGGTGCACATTGGGGGAATGCTTGCTGAGCGGCATTCGTTGGCACTGCTTGGCATTGCATTGAATTGCATTGCTTTGCTTGGCATTGCATGGCGTTGCATGACTTTGCGTGGCATTGATTGGCATTGCTTGACGTTGCTTCGCATTCCTTGGCACTGTGTGGCATAGCTTGGCACTGCTTTGCATTGTCTTGCGTTGCTTTGCGTTGGTTGGCATTGCTTTGCTTTGCTTGGCATTGCTTTGCGCGGCATGGATCTGCACTGCTTGGCATCGCTTGCCATTACTCGGTGCCCCTTTGTACTGCTTGCCAGTGCTTGGCATCGCTTGGCATCGATTCGCATTGCTCGGCAACCTTGGAAACGCTTCTTGAAACACTTTTTTCGTCGGCGGCGAGGCAGAGTTGGCTGCACCAGCGCTAGAGCTAAGCGGGGGCACCGAGAAGCGAATTGGCCAGCGTGCAAAAGCGGCTTCCTGAAACATGTACTGTGGGAAGAGACGTGGCCGTGCACATGAGCAACGAGACAATCATGCACACAGTAGGAGGAGCCCGATCACAAGAACATCTTCCACAAGAGACCGAACCCTGAGACCCCAGGACGTCCATAGATTTTCGGTGTGGGAACGTCGCGCTCTCCGTGGCAAGACCATCGAAGCCCAAGAAACCCAGGACACCCTGGAGACAAGCAGGGTGCTTCTCTTGGCATGGGACTCCACTGCAAGTTTGGGCGCCCGGCATGGGTACGGAAAAAATGGGTACAATGCCCAACAACAAATGTTGTCCCAAACCAACAGCGGCCGCTGTTGGGCAGGCAGCCTTCTGTCTCAAATGTACACAGGCCGCAGCGACACCGACAACGAGTCCTGTTCAAAATGAACAAGAACTGCTGTTGGGCATTGTACCCATTCTTTCCGTACCTATTTCGTGCCGAGCAGGAGCAGCAAGACCAGGGAGCCCCCAGGGAACGCCACTCTGAGGCAACGCAACACACGAAAGGGGCCCGTAGGGAGGGGCCGGCCGGCGCAGGCACCGCGAAACCGACCTCGGCGGCGCTCAGAGTTCGAGCGCGAGCCCTGCAGGCACGCCTCCGGTGGGGCAGGGTCGCGGGCAAAGGCCCCGGGGCTCAGGGCCCGATGTCCTCGGGGCCCGTCGGCTCCATGCCGGCGGTGTGGGGGAAGAGGGTGGTGACGAAGAGGGGGAGGGAGGGAGGGATGGAGGATGAGGATGATGACGAGGGAGGGAGGAGAGGGATGGGGCGGATGATGACGATGATGACCAGGGAGGGCGGAGGGCGGGGAGGATGAGGAAGAGGAGGGAGGGAGGAGCGAGGGAGGAGGAGGGAGGATGAGGATGATGACGAGGGGGGGAGGAGGGCGGCAAGAGCATGACGAGGAGAAGTAGCAGGGTCGCCGGGGTGGGAGGCAGGAGGGAGGTGTGGGGGAAGAGGGGGGTGACGATTGAGGGGGAGGGGGGGAGGGGAGGGAGGGAGAGAGGAAGGAAGGATGAGGATGATGACGAGGGACAGGGGTGGGAGGCAGGAGGGAGGTGTGGGGGACGGGGGGGATGACTGAGAAGGGGGAGGGAGGGAAGGGATGGAGGGAGGAAGGGAACGAACGCGCGAACGAACGCCCACCATCTCGGACTAGCGTCTGGGCCTAGCTGAGACCCGGTGGATGACCCCGGTAAAAGCAGAGGGGATGATGAGGATGATGATGTTGAGGAGGAGGAGGAGGAGGAGGGGGAGGAGGAGCCGTAGCGACCAGTATCAAGGACTACTGCAGACATGCGACTCTATTCATGCAGATCTTGCCCTGGCGGCCGCTGCCTCCAGGATTCCTCCGGCTTCTTCCCCTTCCTCCGACGTGTTTGCGCGACCATGCTGACAAGCGCACATCAGTCGGAGGAGAAACCACGTGGCCCGCACGCCCTGGCACCTGCACGTGGGAGGGCGAGGCCCACGAGAAGCATGGCGAGGAGGGGGGGGGTTCTCGGGGCTATCCTAGTGTTGTTCTCGTGGCCACCGAGAGGGGGGCCGGGACGGGGGGGCGACGAGCGAACGAACGAGCGACGGCGAAAACTGAGGGCTCCGAGGTCTAGAACACAACTGCACAAGATATTAGTAGGCTCCGAGCGGTTCCTCCAGTGGCTCAGCCACAAGCCTTCCCCGATGTATTCCCGACGGTCCTCTCAAAAGCCCCCCCCCCAGAGATTATCCCAGACAGTACTCCAGAGGCCTCCCCAGATGCGCTCCTCAAGCCGTCTCAGAGACCTCAGAGGCCCCCCCCAAGAAGCCGTCTCAGAGGCCCCTCAAAGACCCTCAGAGGCTCCCCCGGATGGTTTCCTGGAGGCACCCCTTGAGACCCCAGAGACCCTTCCAGAAGCTCTCCCAGAAGCCTCTCAGACCCCCCCCAGGAGCTCCTCCCGGAAGCTGCCCCAGAGGCGCCCCCCTGGATGTTCCCCCCCAGAGCCCTCCTCATCAGAAGACCTCCCAGAGGCTCTTTCAATGACACCCCAGAGGCTCCCCAGAGGCCCCTCCAAAGGCTCCCCCGAGGGGAGGCATGCCAGGAGCGGGGAGGGCCTGGGGGGACCACGAACGAGCGAACGACGACCGAACGACGAACGAATGAAAGTGAAGAGTCGGGAGGCATGGAGGTGGTCCGAGCCAGAGTGGAGGGGGGCCTCAGATGCGGGGGAAGGGGAGGGGGACCACGATCGAACACACGAATGCAGAAACGACGAACGAGCGAGAAGAAAAGGGTTGATAGCATTGGGGTGGGCCCAGGTCAGGGGGAAGGGGGTCGCGCTTCCAGAGGCCTTCTCCGAAGTACTCCCAAGGGGTTCCTTCTGTGCCCTCCGAAAACTCTGCCGGTCGGTGCCCCTGAGGCCCCCACTTGAGCCCCCCCCCACGCCGCTGGCGTGGTCGGGCCCGCCCCACTTTCTCTCACAACCAGTCAACGCGCGCGGCTCCTTTCCTCCTCCTCCTCCTCCTCCTCCTCCTCCTCCTCCTCTTCGCCTTCTGACCAATTCAGACGCCGTCCTGGCCAATTTTTGGAGACGCGTCCAACCGTGGTCACGAGGAGCCTCCCCTAAAGCCCAAGACTGCTCAGAGCATGCAGACCTGCGGAGGCTCTCAGGGAGGGCGGAGGACATGACGGGAGGGGCTGCATTTTCGGGGCACGCCACCCGAAGCTGCGCCAGCACGTGCAATCGCGGCCCCGCCCCCGCGTCCCCCGCAAGGGCTTCCGCGATCCGCTCCGTGTTCGAGGGCGCCAGCGCCAGCCTCGGCGGGAAGCGAGCAGGGGCAAGGCCCTCGGCCTCGACCCCTCCTTCTCTTGCCTCCCTTTGCCCCCTCCAACCTCTGCGGCTTCCTCCGGCCTTCCCGGCCCTCGTCGGCCTTTCCTGGTTTCCTTCTGACCATGCCCTGGACGATCCCGACCGCGTACCAAATCGGCTCGATTATCACGCCTGGGCATCCTGGCAAGCGCGACAACGCGTATTGAGCTGGTCTGGTACACGGTTGGCGTCGTCCATCTGTCGACCTTTCCTTCTGCGCTCGTTGCGCGGCAGGCGCCGCCGCTGCCGCCGCTGCACGTGGGTGCGGAGGGCAAAAGTCGAGAGGGGCAGAAGGAACTGTGGACTGGCAGGGCAGGGGGCGGGAGAGCTGTAGGAGGCCAGGGAAGGCCAGAAAGGCTGGGAATGGCCAGGCGAAGCAAGAAAACGCTAGCCCACGAGGCCTCCACGACGACCCCAAGGAGGGCCCGAAATAACGACTGCGAGCGGGGAGAGGGATGATTCTGATAAAGCTAATGGTGGAAATTCTGATGGTTCTGCTGCTGCTGCTGATGATGATGATGGTGGTGATGATGGTGATGGTGATAATGGTGGTGACGATGTTTATAACGATACTGGTGCAGATGCTTGTGGTGGTGATGCTGATGAGGAGGATGGCGGTGATGATGATGCTGCTGATGCTGATGATAATGGTGATTCGGTAAGAGGCGGCTGACGGCGAACTTGGAGCACGGTTGTGAGGAAGTTAGCAGCGCAGTGCGGGGCCTGCGAAATGCGGTGGCCTGGTGCGGAAGCGCGGCGGACGGGGAACACGCACTACGTGGGTGGAACACCTCGAGTTCCCAATTCGGGAGACTGAGAAGATTTGATGGCGACAGCCGACGGTGCTAGGTATGGAAGCGCCTGCGCGTGGTGCTGTGATTGACATGATGGTGATGGTGATGATGATGGGGCTGGTGATGACGATGATGATGGCGATGGCGACGATGGTGACGGTGATGGTGGTGATGCTGGTGTTGATGCGAGTGGTAATAATGATGCTGATGATGATCATAATGACGATGATGATGAAGATGGAACTGGAGGATGACGATGATTCTCCCGCTCCCGCGCAAGTGAGCAGTCGTCGGAGCGCGCGGGGCCGCGGCCGATGCGCGGGGGGGTTGCCCGCGAGAGGCCGGGGCCCC